GAAGCAGTGTAGTGTCACCTATTAGTTGTCCCCAGGATGTTCTGCAATAGCATAATGGCCCTGCAAGCAGCAGGAGGGAGATGTGGCATGAATTAGCACAGGCAGTGGCTGTGGAGATAATGTGGAGAGGGGACATTTGGCTGAGATGTCAGCACTGGTGTCCCCAGCAAACAAGGTGGAAAAAGGCGCAAGCAGGGACTGCAAGATTCAACAGGAAAAGACTTGCACACTTAAAAAAGAGGTTTTCAGCCCAACATCCTTCACCTGACCCCTTCTTCCTTCTTGCCTCCCCCTGCAGGCACCTGCCTCTACCTTTCTCTTTCTTGTAGAATCACTGAGGTTGGAACAGACCTCTAAGATTGAAGTTCAACTGCTGAAGTTCAACACCAACCCATTCCCACCATGCCCACTGACCACATCCCTCAGTGCCATATCTCCACTGTTCTTGAACACCTTCAAGGATGGTGACTCCATCACTCCCCTGTGCAGCCTGTGCCACAGCATCACCACTCTGTCTGAGAAGAAATTCTTCTTAATATCCAATGTGAACCTCTGCTGGTACAACTTGAGGCCATCACCTCTCATCCTATTGCCGTCACCTGGGAGAAGAGGCCAACCCCCACCCTGCCACAACCTCCTTTCAGGGAGTTGTAGAGAGTCATAATGTCTCCCATGAGCTTTCTCCAGTCTGAACAACCCCAGTTCCCTCAGCTGCTTCCTGTAAGACCCTTCTCAGCTCAATTTCCCTTCTCTGGACAAGATCAATGTCTTTCTTGTGGTGAAAAAAACATTGCTCCCCTGCCAGTGTTGCCCTGCTGACCCTGTGCCCCACTTTGCTTTGTGGCACCCCTTGGTGCTGGTGCTGCCTATGTCCCACAGTGTGAGCAGGAAGAAGAGCAGAGCTGGGGATGCAGGGGTTAATCCCATCCGGCACAGTGCTGGGGCCAAGTTTGTAAGTGACTCTTTGCTATTTCGAAAAGAAGCTGCCTGGAAAGGGAAAGGAAAGGGAAAAAAAGAGAGAGAGAGAGGTTTACTTTACAGCCATCGTTATTTCATCTGCACAGTTTATACAATGGAAAATAAAAGCCAGGGAACGCTAAGTCAAATCATTTCTGTTTCACTAATGGTATGGAAATGGTTTTGTTTTTATAGGGGAAAAACAAATGTGAACTTGATGTGTGTGTGTGCGAGTGCTCATGCAGCTCCCCTCATTGCAAAGGGCAGAGCAGCGAAATCCAGAAATAAAAAATGACTCAGAGGCTGTAGGATCTATGAGTCAGTGGAGCTGTTGTTGTTTTTAAACACGAGTGAGAGCACAATATGGGCAACAATCACCCGCACAGCCCTCCCAGCCCAAGCAGAGGGGTGGAAAGCAGGATCTGGGGCAGGGAGCTCGAGTTCTCCTGGAGGAGACTTGTTGCCTGACTTCAGTGCCTCAAGCACGGCCAAGGTGGATGTGGTGGTGGCCAGAGGATGGAGGATCCCAGCACTTCTGAGAGCAGATGGAGAACCACTTGCTCCGTCCTCACCCATAGGCAAAGACATAGAATCACCACAGAAACAGGATTGGTTTGTGTTGGAAGGGACCTGTAAGATTACCTAGTTCCAACCTCTCTGCTATAGGTAGGGACACCTTCCTCTAGACCAGGTTGCACAAAGCATCTGCTGACTGAAATCAAACAGAAACCATCCCTGGGTGTTTTCAAGAAGCTAAACATGGCATTGAGGGACATGGTTAGTGGGGGATGGTGGATATGGGCTGATGGTTGGACAACATTACTGATGCTATGAAACCTCCCTGGCCACGTCCTCACCATGAAACATCCCCAAGTCCCAAAGCAGCACGAGATCACTTGCAGGAGGTACACCAGGAACATTGGAGATGGCCAAAGCAGAAGGACAGACAGCGTTTAGCTGACCTCTTCTCCCCAGAGTGAAGTTAGATCATGATGCCATTCAGGCATCTGAAAAAGATCTGAGAAGTCTTCTTGTACAATCCATACCCAACTCACTTTGTAATAGCACTGTGCATTATTTGCTAAACACTTCATACAAAGGCTTATTTTCATGAAGAAAAAGTAAGCGGTAGAGTAAGTTGGTTTTCAGCCTGTTTGAAGAAGGTCCAAACACACCAGAAACGTATACTGCACGTCTTTTTTGGCACTGGGAAGCACTGATGTCTAATGCAATCAAAATCAACCCCTTTCTATTCACCAGGAAACATTACTGGCTCACTCCTCACTCCACATGCCCGCTGCCAAGTCCAGTATTTGTTACATGGGATGATGCAGGACCTGAGGGCAGAGCTGCTCCCTTGAACCCGATGCTGTGTGCGCATTGCCACTGTCCATGGAGAAGCCTCACAGGGGCAAGAATTGGGATATTGGGTCTGCTAGCTCCACTTAGTCTCCCAAAGCAGGAAATCCAGGGCTATGCTAGGCAGCTCACACCAAACTGCCAGAAGGTTGCACAGACCTGTGCATCTTCCCCTGGAAATTGGGGGTGTAAGAATTGCCCTGCTGCATTCTGCCCATGACAGCTCAGGAGTGATGGGGACAAGACCTCACGCGGGACAGCGAGTGAGCAGAAACAAGTGTTGTAAATAACAGGGAAGGAATTTGTTTGTTCTCATAACAATTTTATGAGTGGCTCTGTTAATGTAGAGCCGTGTCATTGGCCATGGACCACAGCCCAGTGCAAAGCCTGCTCCTGAGCTGGGAGCAGAGAGGGCTCGTGGCTGAGCCCAGCACTCCATGCTGTGCCCACACCTCAATTTAGCACCCAGTGACTTGCCACATGTCCCTGCTGCACCTCAGCCTCATCCTTAAATCCAATTTAAGGACAAGATGGAGCATAACCTGTAGCTCACATGCAGGTCACTTGAGCAGGTCCTCTTCCGGTGCCTTCCAGGATGCAGGAGGCAGCTCTAGCACCTCACACCAAGTGCCTTTGCTGAAGTCCATTTGGTGTTGGGTTGTCACCAAAGAGAACAGCAGAGAGGATTTGAGAACCAAAGCTTTTCATCCAGCCCTGCAGCAGGGCAAATTGCCTGCATGTACCACTGCTTTGGCTACAAAGTGATTCCTCTGCCCTCATAGTGAACACACTGAGCTTCCACCTCCTTGCACTCAGGCTTGCTTCTTGCTCATTCACCCTGCTTGGGGTCTGCACAGGTGGTGGTATCAGCCTGCTGCTGTCACAGGGGAGGCACTTCTGGCATAGTTTTCCCTTCCTCCTTCTACTTAAAAATTGCTTAGTATTCTCCCCATAGCATCTCTGAGGTCCTAGTTATAGATACCAGAACACTCGATCCCATTCTCATCTGCAGGAGAACAAGCCTTCCTATTGATAGGGAGCCAAGCTCCCTGGGAGCCCACCTCATCGGTGACTTCAAACCCTTTTCCCAACTGTCTTTCCACAGTAACTTTGACTAACTGTACTATTTATTGGCTCACATCACATCCTTATGGCTTCAATTTATTTTTTGAAAACGCAACCCACATTTAATTAGTTTATAGTTTGTTCCAAGTTTTGCTTATCCAGCTTTTTTTTTTTTTTTTTTTTTTTTTTTTTTTTTTTTTTTTTTTGAAGTTTGTATTTTGATGTTTAGCATTTGCCTTAGCAACATCTGGAACCCCTTTATGGAAGCGTATTGTTACTTTTACTGCTCGTGCAGCTTTATTAAATCATCCGCGTATTAATATTGAAAGTGTTCATCTGGGTCTCATCATGGCCAAGACAAGTGATGTGGCAGCTCAGTTGTACCTACGAGCTCATGCTTCAAGGACACAATGTTCTGGAGAAACTCGCAGTGGGCTTTGTGTACTTCGTTTGAGTTTTAGTGGGAGAATTAGGAGGGGGAAAAAAGAGATGTATTCCTACTCTGACCTTTCTTGCAGATAACAGCATAGAGGGCTGAGCTAGTTTAGAACAATTTGTCTCCAAAGAGTTTTGTCTGGTTACTGCTGTATTTCTGGCTCTCATTTCCATATTTAACTCTTTCATCCTCCCTGGCTGCCTTGCTCTGCAGTGTAGCTGAATCTAAGCCTGGCACTGTGCTCCCGTGGGGCGTCAATAAGTAAATATCAGCCCTGTGGGAATGAGTAAATAAAGAGCAAACCCCCAATGGGTGTTGAGCAATGAGGGTGGTGCAGGCACAAGAGGAGAACACTGACCAGCAGGCACGGATGTAGCAATGGCCATCCTTGCTGTCCCACCAACAGACCTTTGTGCCTCAGCAGCCCAAAATAAACCTTGTTAACAATGGCAGCACGGAGCAGCCCGGTTGTGTTGGGATCCCAAAATGAAAGGAACCCAGGGAAGAGCAGGAGCACTGAGCTCTGTCTCCACGTGCCACAAAACTTGTATTTCTCAATGCATCCATTCAGCAAATACCTTTTTTTTCCCCTGGGTACTTTACCAGAGGTTGTAAGGGAGCAGCTTAAAGGTGGGCAGACTTCCTACAGGAATGACTGCTTTTTGCCCTGTTTGGAGTTAAAATCTCCCACACAATCCTTCTCTACCTGCAATGAAAGTTCACTGTAAGATGTACAGATGGTCCATACCTCTGCAAAGTAGCTGCTGTAATTCAGGTTCCCATCTGAGTGCTGCTGAGTCTACTTATCAAGTACATGCTAGCATGTATTTATACATAAGCCTTTCAGTGGCTTCATAAAAAAAAAAAAAAAAAAAAAAAAAAAAAAAAAAAAAAAGTCAAAGGAAAAAGAAAAATACATCTAGCAGCCTTAAAACAGGAAGTTTAAATTTAGCTGGGATTTATTCTTTAACCAAGAATAGTTCCTTTAAAAATAGAGATAACTTGCTCCTGTCTGGAGGAAGCTGCCTCCACGGGGCCAGTGCAATCGCATCAGCTCATTGCTTTGCCATCCTCTAAAACACATTGGACTGAGCAATGGGGTAGAACAAATGCATGCAGAAGGAGAGTCACTTTGGGCTAAAACTCGCTGAAAGTGGCCAACTGCTGCCCCCTGTGCCCACAGCCTGCTGTGCCGGTGCTCGCCGCAGCCTGAAGACCAACCTGTGCAAGTGGTGTGACTCCACGCCGCCAGCCTGTGAGCGGGAGGTGTGCTACAGCAACTGCAACCTCAACTCCTACTGCGAGGACCCCTTTGAGATCTGCGTGGCCATATGGTGAGCTGGGGATATGGGAAAAAGGGTTGGTTGGTGGGAATGTGCTCGTGGGGACCCCATGCCATCGAAGTCACTAAGGGCTTTCTCTTCCTCCCCCATTGCCTCCATTGTAATCATAATTGAGATGCAACTGGATCTTAACTATAATTAGGAGTGGTTTATTTTCTAAATAATTTATGCGTATATGTGCCCCACACAGCACCGCAAGCATGTTATGTTTCCTCTGTACCCACATAAACCTGAATTTAGCTTTGCAAGCTGAGCCTGCTGCACAAAGCCAGCAGACGTGATGCCCAAAGCTGTGATTTCCTCCTGCATCAGGATGGGAAAAGCCTGCTCCAGGCGCAGGGATGCAGAGGGAGAGTTGCTGCCCCAGAGGTCTGTCCCCTCTTGGGGCACAGACATCTACACTGGTACTAGGCCACTGGCAACATCCCCAGGGAAAAGCCCTATTGGCTTTTGCTGGAAATGCCTGGAAAGGAAATGTGTTCTGGCACTTCAAGCATACACCAGGATGAGTGAGCACCTCCTCCAACTTTCTGGCCTCCCATGAGCAAAACTAAAGTGCATTTTGGGTCTAACCAAAGTGATTTTCTCCTCTGTCCCTTCTAATTCGGCTGCCAGAGTGAAATCCAGGAAGCACATATTGCTAGGCTTTATCTCAACCTGCTAATTAGTGTGAACACTGGATTGCCTGGCTTTCAGTAGACTTTTACCTCAATGTAATTACTGCATTATGGACTGGAAAAAATAACAAAAGCAGAGGACCAACAAGAAACCCAAACAAATAAACAAGGTTGCCTCTGACCCAAATTTCCCTGAGCACAGATATGGAGAAAACCTTAAAGAAGTCCCATGAAGACCCAAAAGGACATGGGGAGAACAAAGGACAGGGATGTTTCACCCAGTCCAGCAGAAGAAGGGTGACAAATGTGGGTTATTTCCCTCAGTTCTATTTCCATCATCCCAGCTGACTCTGAAAGAATTGTGAAATCTCTCCATACCTCCATCTGCCTCCAGAAACAAGGGTCTGCAATGGCACTCTGCCTCAGCAGCTGTTCCTTTGCTCCTCATTAGCTCTTAATTACTCACTGGCTCTAGAGAAGATAAGCTGATCCACCTTAAGTGAAGGTCTTCTGAGCGCTGAACTGCTGCCCCTCATGCCATGTGAATCACCCCAATTAGCTCTGCTCCAGCTCTTCCCAGCAGCGTGTCCCACCTCCAAGCTCTAGCAGCTACCACCACCTGCTCTGGAAGGAATATACCCCAGTTCATGCCCAGCCATTCCTAAATGGATATCTTGATCTCGAAGGTCTTTTCCAACCTAAATGATTCTATAAATCATCCAGGCACCCACATTACTGAGGAGCTTTGCCATTTGCTCCCCAGGCTTCTCCTTCACCTATCTTGGTAAGTACAAGGCCATCTCCCACCCCACAGTCTTGCCTCTATAATTACTTTCCTCCAACTATTAGTTCAGTTAGTGATGGGAGAGAGCAAGCTCAAACAGGGGAACATTTATCTCCCTGCATTATCTTACTTGTCTCAAAATTAACTCCTTTCAGAAGGACCATACCCCATGGAATAAAATAAAATCTGTCTACCAACAGGACTAGCCATAAGGCAAGCAATGCATTTTAATGTGCTCTTTCTCTGCCCAGCTGGTTCTTATCTCAATCACACTGTGTTCATGCTGCAATTGGCAGTGGATGCTGGTGGTGCTCAATGAGCTTCACCTGGGGGTTTGGAGGCAGATCTGTTTCACCATGTTCCAGCACAGCTTATAAACACAGCCATGGCCTCACTGTTGTCCAGGAGCTGTATCAAACTCAGGTTACTATTTTGAAGTGCCAAATGTCAGAATGTCCCTGGAGGTGTTCAAGGCCAGGTTGGATGGGGCCCTGGGCAGGCTGGTCTAGTATTAAATGTGGAAGTTGGTGGCCCTGCCTGTAGCGAGGGGTTGGAGATTCATGATCCTTGAGGTCCCTTCCAACCTGGGCCATTCTATGATTCTGTGAAATAGTCCCCGGTGACCGGTGACCCAAGGGCTCTTTTCCCTCAGGTGGGCACAAGCAGTCATGCAAAGATGTTGTGTAAGCACCAGCAAATAGCCCAGGGCAAAAGATGGGGCCAAGCAGCTCTGCCAACACATGTGCTGAGAGGAGAAGGATGGAGGAATGGTGCCTCTGGCACTGGGAAAGGAAGAATTTTACTCAAATCCTGCGCTCAGCCTCAGGGCTGGCCCTACCTGACCCAACAAACTTGTGAATTATCTGTGGAAAACAACAGAGTGCCTGGCTCAAGTCCCACTATTGGCGTGCTCTAGAAATTTCTCTTTTGCCATCTGGAACAGAGAAAAGGATTAAATAAATCCTCTCAAAAGTATATATAAGGAGAATTACATTAGAGCCACCACTAACACGTCCTCTCATATACAGCACAGAACTGATGATCAGCAGAAGGTTCAGACGGCGTGCAGGTGACAATGGCCTGTGGTTGTGGGTGGCTGCGCCACTAACCTAATGCTTTGTTGGTTCATTTGGCCCCTGTAGGAGACAGGACAATGACAGCATCAGGATCAGCACGCTCTGCCACAACCCCCACCGCCCCATAGAGAACCTCATGGTCCCCAACTACAACACCTCGCGCTGCATCATGACCCACCAGCCCAGCGAGGATGGCATCATCTACATCTGCGGCTGTGTGGATGAGCAGGAGTGCAACGATAAGCTCATCTTTGAAAATCATACTAATGGTGAGTACCTCTGCTGATGTTATTTGAAGTGAGAAGGAGCACTCAATGCTAATGACAAACAAGTTGCATGCTGGGAGCCACGCAATTTCACATTTCCAAGAAAATGGGCACACATGCAATGTCTGTTTTGACCTCCTGTATGAGGTAGATAACATTTGTACCCCATTACTGCTGCCCTGAGCCCAATAGTTTTCCAGTGACTCACCCTTCCCTACCAGAAATGCCTCCTGAGAGCATCAGGAGATGGAAAATCCACCGTGTCCTTCAGTAGGCTGCACCCTTTGGCATGGAGTGAATCAACAAGGCACCCAAAAGCTGATGTAACCCTGAACAAGTCTATGCTTTAAGGGCTTTAAAAAAAATATCACACCATACATCCCACACCAGCAGACCAGGGGAACACCTGGTGCCCACAGGGACTGGCACCCCGCAGCGGGTGGTGCAGGGAACACTCTCCTGATGCAGCATTTCCCTGCAGATGGCTGCAGGTCCAACAGGAGCTGTGAATTCACTCCCACTAAGAGGCAGCTTGTGTCTCTTCCTCGGGAGGGTCATATGCTTTGCAAAAGCTGCTAACTGGACCCTGAACCTCTTGTGGTCTTGTCCAAACCTCTGTAGCTCTGAATGGACCACATCTGTCCCATCAGGCATCTGATCCATATCAGTGGCAAAGCAAAGCCCCTCTGATTCTCTGCAATTCATGAAATGCTGAAAGCGAGGCTAAGTATAACCTGCAAGCCAGCAGCACAGCTTCTTGCACAATGCTAGGAAAAAAAAAAAGAATCACATAAAATGCAAATTCTTAGAACAAACAAGCCACTTTTAATGGAAGCGAATGATGCTAAATTTGGCAGTTTCTTGCTGCTTGCTGAGCCAAACATAACAGGTACACACGCTTCTAGAGAAAGATAGTCTAATCCCAAAGCTGGTGCCAGCATATATAATTTCACACCAAAATGACAACTGGCTCATTGGAAATGCCACCCGCAGCCAAGACTTTCACAAACAGCCTCCTTGTGCCAACCAGCATGCAAAACACCAAAAGCCAGAGCTGGGCAATGCGTGGGCCCTGTGGTTGTCTGCAGGGAAGACAGAGCAAAGCTGCTGCTCTAGGAAGCAGGGACAGGAGCTGTGCTGCAGCCCTCCATGGCATCAGGAAGCAGCATCCTCAGGAAGGAATCTGCAGCAATTACTGCTTTCAGGACTTGTGCACGCAACGCCCTTAAAAGTCTATTCTCTTGCTTCAGAGTTTCAGAGATGGGATCTGAAGCATCGGGAAAAGCCATTAAAGCAGTAGGTGATATCCAGGCCTCGCACTTTCCAAAATAAACATATTCCTGAGTTAGTTATTGATTTATATCAGTTTAGGTTGATCTTGTGGTTTGAACCTGATGCCTATTTTAGAAACGCTTTCACAGCCTTGCAGAAATTAGCTGCAGCACGTTTTTTGAAATTTGCCAAGGAAAATAGCAAAATGCTCTGTTTTTCCAGAACCTGAATTATGATCTGCACATACTGAGGTCAAGCAGCAAGAGTTTTGCTTATGGAATGATTCTTATCCCTCTTCCCCTGGGTTATTATACTTGGCAGGAAAACCTCTGAGTAAGATTTTACTTGAATATCTCTACTGAAGTCAGCATGTTTATTCCAGGAATCACGAACATCAAAGCATCACACAATTACACGTTGCGCAAGGGTTAGGGTTTTGTTCCCCCCTCTGATGATCTGAAGGCAGATGGGCTCAAGAGCCATGAAACAACAGGGAGCTGCCTGGGCAGTGCCAGTGCTGCACTGCGATGATAAGTGATACTTTGATGGGCTGATGGTTAGACTAGATGATCTTAGGGGCCTTTTCCAACCTTAACCATTCTGTGACACTCAGACGGCGCTGAAGCAATGCTCGTTTATGGCACCATCTCTCACGGTTTTCTGTGCCACCCTCATGGGCAGGAGGGCCCAGTTCCCACACACACGCCTGCAGCTCGATGGCACTACGGCCACACTGGGGGTGCAGGCTGCAGCCTGGTGTGCAGGGCTGGCTTCCTGCACCTTCACTTGACAAAAGGGCCCTGACTCCAGTACTGAAATGAATGGCTCTCTAATAATTGCATACATCTGGGTTCTTACTCTTTGCTCAGATGGGATTTGTGTGCAGCCTGCATTACCGCCCTGCGAACGGCTGCGCCTTATTAACCACCCTGCATATTTTCCTCCTACGCGCGATCAAAACAAGATGTCGTGGGCCCCTCAAGGCAGCTCCTTCCTCCATGCTTCCCTCCCCGCAGGCTACTCCATGCTGCAGAGCAAGGAGGTCATCCCAGTGGCCGCCATCAGCCTCCTGCCGCCGCTGCTGGTGGCGGTGATGATTACTGTCATCTTCTATCTCTGCCGCACGCAGAAGCAACGCAAGAGGGCCAAGAGCTGGGTTGGGAAGCAGGGCCAGGGTCCGGCACTGCAGGAGCCAGGCAGGGCTGCCGAGCGGGATGAGAAGCTGTCTGTGCTGATGGATGATGGCCCGGCCGCCATGAACCCCACCTGCGCCAACAGCCTCAACCACAACACCGAGCTGCTGCCCATTGAGCTGGATGAGATGGTGGGCAAGGGGCAGTTTGCGGAGGTGTGGAGGGCTAAGCTGAACCACAGCAGCTCAGGGCAGTATGAAACAGTGGCGGTGAAGATCTTTCCCTGTGAGGAGTATTCTTCCTGGAAGAACGAGAGCCAGATCTTCACAGACGCCAGCCTCAAGCATGACAGCGTTCTGCAGTTCCTCACGGCTGAGGACAGGGGCTCCGGGCCACGCAGGGAGTACTGGCTCATCACCGCCTACCACAGCAGGGGCAACCTCAAGGACTATCTCTCCAGACACATCCTGAGTTGGATGGACCTGCAAAAAATGGCAGGGTCACTGGTGAACGGGGTGGCCCACCTCCACAGTGATTACACAGCCTGCGGCCGGCCGAAAATCCCCATTGCTCACCGGGACATCAAAAGCACCAACATCCTGGTGAAGAACGAGCAGGAGTGTGTGATCTGTGACTTCGGCATTGCCATACGCCTCGACCCCTCACTGACGGCAGATGACTTTGCTAACAGCGGGCAGGTGAGTATGAACCTCAGCATCCCTTGGACAGGCATGCATGCCATCAAATGCATGGCCCTGGGTGGGAGACGTGGCCTTTACAAATAGGGCTGTCTTCACACCACACCATCTGGAGCATAAGACGTCAGCCATGTGCTCCCCAGCCCCTGCTAACCTCTCTTCTTTGTGGACAGGTGGGCACTGCCAGGTACATGGCCCCAGAGGTCTTGGAGTCCAGGGTGAACCTGGAAGATCTGGAGTCTTTCAAGCAGATGGATGTCTATTCCATGGCCCTCGTTCTGTGGGAAATGGCCTCCAGATGTGAAGTGGTGGGAGGTAGGAATGTCACACGCAGGTTTGTCTTGCACCTCTTAGGCTCCCTTCCTCTATGTACAGGGACCTTCATCCACTCACATCCCTGGTGGTGTTGGTGCTCCACCCCAATGCAGAGTTATCCATCACAGGACCTGGATTCAGGTGGCTGCTGAGAGCTGGTGACAGATCTCACCTAGGGCCTACCTCTGCCCAGCCACCCACCTAGGGGGCTGGCACTGTGGTTGAGGAGCAGCAGAGGTGATCACAGGTGATCCCAGCCACAACACTGAAACCATCCAACTCTGAGCACTGGTCACAGAGGTGGAAGCAGACATATTGGGGTTCTTTCCAGTATACACCTTTGGTTCCGGGAAGAGGTCAGGCAGTCCATCAGTCTCATCTCTGAAAATAGCATTTACACGAAAATCTGGTGCTACACTTCTGCACTCAAATTCTAAACTATTTCCAGAACTGTTCTTCTCACCCAGTAGGCCACGCCAAAGCACTGCAGTGAGAAAATCATCATATAATACCGCTTCTTTGCAGAGGTAAAGAATTACGAGCTGCCTTTCGGATCAAAAGTGCAGGAGCAACCCTGTGTGGACACCATGAGAGACATTGTGCTGCATGGCAGAGGGCGGCCTGAGATCCCTAGCAGCTGGCTGGTGCACCAGGTAAGCCAGGAGCAGCTGGTTCAGAGGCAAACCATCCTGTCCTTCTCTGCTGACCCATCCTGAAGATTACTATAGCTGCAATCAAATCAGTGTGGCTGGCTGAGCTCAGATAAGCTCCCCTAAATCCACTTCCCCAGTATGGAAAAGCCAACAGCCAGGGATACAGCAGAATTCACAGCTGGTAAATCAATGGTCAAGAGCAGAAGTTATGAATGCCAAGTAATGACATTTGGTTATCTTGTGGATGCTGAAGCACAGCCAAATGGAGCATCCAGGCTTCTGCCTACTTTGTCAAGGAGTTTGAAGTTTAGAGGTCATCCTGAATTTCATACATGGAAGAAAGGACTTCCACTTGTACAAGGAAAGGGGAAGACAGGCAGCACTTCCCTCAAAGTGAAACAGCTTGAAGACACGCATAAAGCTGACAGAAGGGAAAATGCTGGGTTAAGTCTTCCCAAGGGAAAGCCTTTCACCATCTTTTAGCTCAGAAGGCCTGAGAGCACAGCATTTTAGTATGGAAAGCATAGCCCAGCATGCTAGAGTAGATGCACTTCAACAGTAATGAGGTATGCTGTTCTAGAATCACCCACATACACTCCCAGAACAACCAACTCCAGAAACATTGCACCCAAATGGCTTTCTCTTCCCCAGTACTTCCATTCATGAATTGAGGACACAAGGGACTGAGCACAGTTTTCAGAACTCACCTGAAGTGGTGCTTCTTAAATTTCACGTGCCTTGGTGAAAATCACCATACATCGATCACCATTTCAGCTCCCCCCCAGAAAGCTGAAACAGAGTCTTTGGGCTCGCAGAGCCCTGCAGTGCGCTGGCATTGATCATCACAGGTCATTTTGTACTTATCCATAAAACACACTGCTTCCTTTCATCACACAACACACAAACCCAGAATTCTCAAAAAAGAGATACAGCAAACAATAACAAATTACTGTGGTTTCTGTTGGCCCATCAACAAGTTTATCAGTGAGCTCATTGGGTTTGCCCTGCCTTCTTCCTTTAGTAGTAAAACACAGAACTTAAATCAGCACGGCTGCATGCTTGAAGCCTTTGAGTATTCATCTCAGACGTTCACCTCCCAGGTCTCTGATAAACTTCGAAACCACAGAAAAAAAGCACAGAGGCTTGGGCTGTCAGAAATCACGCTCTAATAGAGCCTAACCATACCTGTGCTGTGTGCTGAGCTGAAGTGCTGGCTGCAGTTACTGCTGAGAAATAACACTGCTGCCACAGCTGGGCTGGCCTAGCACACAAACAGAGTGAGGTTTATAAAAGCTGCTGCCTTTATAAGACCTGATACTCACTGGGGATGAAGAACAAAAAAAGTCATGTTGTGTTCCTGAGAGTTTGACTAGTATCAGTCAGAAGCAGCTTGCCACAAACCTGGCTTTACATCGTTTCCCCAGGCTGCAGCATAGGGCAGCACCATCTGCTGGGAGGCAGCAGAAGTCTTCCAGGAGCTGCTGTTTGGAGGACGTGCCGGGTGACACCAAGATGAGGGGCGTGAAGGGAAGCACATGCAGGTGTTGGTAGCTCTGCTCCCGCTGTGGGGTTGGAACCAGATGATCTGCGAGGTCTCTTCTGGCTCAAGCCATTCTGTGATTCTCTGTTCCCATCAAAGCAAACCCAGGGGATGCACAGCTCCAAATGCTACTTCTGCAGTGCTCCCTCTCAGTGAAGTGAGGGCCAAAGCAGTGGGCCCTGGTTTAGGGTTGCCAGCTGACATTGTTGGGGTCACAGCATTAAATCCCCCCGCAGCTGACTCACCCAGAGCATTGCACATCAGTAGCCCCAACACAACAGTCTGCCAACTGCACAACAAAGCCAATTAAGACTTTTATCCCCAAAGCGGCCCAATTAACTCTTAAATGCACATGCTCCCACCTCACTTTAGCCCCTACTATTAAGAAAAGTGGGGTTTTCTCAGTGAAGTAAATTCCTAGAGGTGGTTCATTCCCACTTGTACTGGCAAAATTGAAGGCTGCTGCAGGGCAGGAGCAGCAGGAGCTGAACTCAGCACTGCTGCTAAAAACAACTTGTAGAACTGTAACTGAATGCAGCATTGAACATCCCCTGGAAATCAGGGTTACAAAGCAGAAACCCTGCACTAAGCCTGCTTTGCAAGCATAACAAGGAGCACCACACTTACAAGGCAGACTACAGATAAACACGAAGATTGCAGGGTAGAGTAAGCACAGAAAGGTCTAATGACTAAAGAATACAACAACCCTGAGAGAACTTTAGTTAAACAAGCTAATTTTTGGATGCTAGTTAATTAGCCTCAAATCCTTCCAGCTGGGCTAACAGATGAGTGCTGACAGGAGCACTGAAATGCGCCCTCTGTCAGTTCTACTGCACGCTCCCGTTCCCTCTTATCTGTGTCCATTGTGCAAGGCTTTGTCCAGCGAGCCTCCGAGCAGTACAGCGAGGTCAGGCGAAGGGGCAGCGAGGCGGGCGACAGCATGGCACATTGCTGTAGGATTCATGCTGTTCTTTCACCTTCATCTTTTCAGGTTCTCAATTGTAAGCTGAAATGCACAAAACCATGGGAAAAAAAAACCACAAAGTTTTATTTAGAATAATGATTTTTCCACTGTGTCGCAACTTCTGTTGTCAGTGATGAAAAAAGCACATGATAGGAATTACAGAGTCAAAGGAAGGTTCGATGTAGCTGCTGCTGCTCCTGCTAGCTTCAAAGGGGGTAAACATCAGTGCAGTACTTTTGTACTGAGCCTAAAATATTGGGACTCTATTTGTGTGATTTTCTGAAGAAAGACATTACTGGGGTTTCTAACCATTGTAATCCAGAGGAACTGAGCATTTTGAAGCATGCTGAAGAGCACCCAATCCCACATAAGACATGATTCCATGGTGAGAAACTATTCAATGCAGTGCTGAACTACTTGGTGTGGTTTCCCCTTTGAGAAAGCTGCTGAAACAAAGTCATGTTAAGAAGTTTAATTCCAGACTTACCTTCAAGGTGCCCCTACCCAACCCTCTATGTGTGGGGGACATCCAGAGCTGGGCTCAGCTCCCAGTGCTGTGGGTGACCACCTGCACCTCCCCTTTCCTCCTGAATTCAGGGTGCTCCATCTCAATGGCCAAGGCTGAGGAGATGGGGACGCGTTAGGGCCCTATCTTGACACACAAACATCACCACATACCATAACTTACCTACTGCATTTCTGCAGGAAGCTGCCCAAAGCCCAGCAAAGCATAAAAGCTTCAGATCAGCTTCTCGCTCCTCTTTTCCCTTCCTTCAGCTCCTAACACCAACCCTTCTGACTGCAGGGGATGCGCTTCCTGTGTGACACCATCACGGAGTGCTGGGACCACGACCCCGAGGCTCGCCTCACCGCACACTGCGTGGCCGAGCGCTTCAACCTGATGGCGCAGATGGATTGCGACGACATCCTCAACAACAACACGGACAACGAGGTCGGCAAAACAGCCTCTGCAGGAGGGGAGCAGCAGGGCAATGATGGGAGCAGGAGCATGCCGTGATGCAGCAGCAGGGAGCCTCAGCATGAGAGTCCCAGGAAAGGAACTACGATATAGTGCATAACTTATTTATTACATCTATTTCCTCCCAGTGATGGGCTGAACTGTGGAATCAATATTTTTTTTTTTTTTTTTTTTTTTTTTTAAGTGCAACACTATATATGAACTGATTTTGTACTTACTTTAAGTGTATAATGGTGCAAAGCATTTCTTCTATTATTTTTTAAAACAATAACATTTAATCTTTTATTAATAAGTACGTGAACTCATTGCCCATCTTTAGAAGTCCTTCCATGCTGTCATCAGGAGTTTCTCTTCTAAATGCTCACTCTGCACAGCTCACACACTTCTTGAATGGCACACACACACACACACACACAAAAAGAAACCCCAAAAAAGATGAGATAGCAGCCTGAGATGTTACAGGTTGCAGTGGAACAAAGAGCATGGAAGCTACTCAGGTGAAATTCTTTCAACAGTAAAAAAAAAAAAAAAAAAAAAAAAAAACCCCACACAAAAAAAACCCCACACAAATAAAACCAAGTGACCAATACAGGCACTGCTGATCCTGAGACCTCCTGCTGCTCTAAGAGTGTTGGCAAACTCCCTACCAGCACACCTCCCACACCTCTGCCACCAGTCCGGTCCCCAGCCACCCCCAACCAGATCTTACCACACTAACACTGCCAACACAAACACGGTTGCCAATTCTTCCTGCGGTTACTTTCCCTCCTCCACAGCATTACTCAACTTGAAGAAACACGATCAGACAGAGCAAGGACCTTTACTCCCCATAACTCCCAGACCGAGCCAGGCAGCCTCTGCAGTAGAAAGGCAATTAACTGAATGAGAAAGGTAAGTCACACCACATCGAACCACAGTGTTGTGCAAATCTTAATCCTTCCACTCTTGTAAGCAAAAGGTAATAAAACCTCTCGCTGCTACCAAGAAGTCCCGCAAGCCCACACCTGATGTGCACCTACACAGAGGTTCTTTCAGGATAGTGTGAAAGAGGAATGCTTTGCTTGCCAGCACAGCATGCCTGGCTGCTCCTTCCTGTCACCTTACAGTGCTCAAGTGAGCCCCTTCCCTCAAAGCACACCTCCAGTTTGCCATAACAATACTCTTTTCCACACACACTAAACGTCAGTCTCATTTAACACATTAATGACTGTTCTCTGTAAGCCCAGAAGGAACAGGAGGCACTAGGCAGCTTTCATCACACCAAACTCCCTCTAAGTTGTCAAACCCTTCTTTCATTTAGCATTCAGTGCAAAGTTTCCTCACTATACTTTCATCAAGTTGTTTGATCATAGCAACGATGTATATATTTACTACTTCTTCCCAATTCAGTTTGAGAGGTGTATAAGTCCCTGCCTGGCCTTCCAGAGGTGACAGGGACACAGAGGGGAATCAACCTGTACAAACTCGAAGTTGAAGGCTGCTCATGTGCTTCTGAAGGCTGAAAGGGAAATCCTCCTAGAGAAGCAGGCCTTCCTCTAGGCTTGACAGTTTCCACTGCAGATATTCTTCTCAAAAGAATGCTTTCAGGCAGAGAGAGGGGAACAGACTGAGAAGCTTTTCTGAAAATGAACTCCAGACTCCAATTTACGTATTCATCTTTTCTCCATGCAAACCAACTCATCAGTCACACATTCAGGATCATACTGTTGAATGCACACATTAAATAGAAGCGACACATCATGCTCTGTTTTCCATGAGCAGCAGGGAACCAAGTACCCCCCAAAGAGGGCTCTAACATCTGCTTACGTCTTAGAGAGCCCTAAAATTACCAAGGATGAGCAAGAACTTTGCTCAACTTCACTGGAGCTGAATCAAGCCATAAAGAAAGGAACACAAGGCTAAATCCTATGTTTTGCCATGCTTCTCATTTAACTCACTGTGGTTCTATGAAGTATTTACACAGGAAGCAGCAGTGATCTCTTTTCCCTCCACTCCAGAAGGTACAAGATGGAAACAACAGCAGTTATGCAAGAGAATCAAATCTGGTCAGTGTTAAAAATACACATTAGTCTGCTGAGTACTTGCAGCTCTTAGGAAGAAAAAAAAAAACACAAATGTCAAAATTTGAGTTGGATATTCAGTGGCTAGAATTAAGCTATTTTTCAATTCCATCCTTTGTTTCCAGAATAAACTAGAAAATTGCATCACTATTAAATCCACATCACAAAGTCACTCCAGTTCTTGTGATCATCTGAGCAAAGGAAGACTTTATTTTCCTAGCAGCATCCCCACGTTAAAAAGAATCGTCTCGTATTTTTAAGACTACTTCAGGGTTGGTCTATTTTTACATGACAAAATTAGTAACAGCTTTCTCAGCATGAAACCGCAGGCACACCAGATGAGGGTGGAAGAGAAATAACTTGGCTGATGTTATACAAAGAACACAAATTGGTTTAGGGTGAACACGGGAGCTTTTCAGCCATCACTTTGACAAACTCCCAAGTCAAAGTTTCAAGCAGAGCTCAGCAGCTGAGTCATAGGTTTGTATTCTAATAGAGACAAGTTTATCAGCTGAGCATAATCCAGGGAAGTAAGTCTAGTTAATGCAGCAGTGATCACAGCAGGAACCAGCTGGACCTGGCACCACCCTTGCTGTTTATTTAAGGGGTATCTGCTATATGACAGAGAACTCAACCGGGAAACATGGAGTGTTGTCTATTTATTTTCTTTCCCTCTACCAGCCCCAGCTTGGTGCAGGTACCAAAGAACTCCAGAGCTGAGGAAGCTAACACACTGCCACCGTGATTCCTACCACAAATGCTCCAACTGCCCGAGGAGCACAGCACACATGGGCTGCAGACCCAGAGACAAGAAAAAGCTACACCCACTGCTTTCATACATATTTTTATTCCTGGTTGAACATGAAAATGCCCAGTAGGTATCCAAAAATGAAGACAGGGTAATTGTATAGAATATCACAAACAAGACAGCAGGGTCTGAAACACATTCTTCTGCTGGAGAATACAGTTACTACTGAAGTGCACAGTGCCAAAATATCCTGTTATAACAGCCAGAGAAAGCCCAGACAGACAGATCTCCAGTATAAAAGACAACAATCTACTCTTCCTGGCCACCTGACCTCTAGGTAAAGCAAACAGAACAAACAAATCATTTTGTAGTTTTATTATCCCCACCCCCAATTCTCACAAAGGGACCATGACTCGCATTGAGATCTCAGTGCATTTCACAGCAAAAAAAAAAAAAAAAAAAGAACAAGAACAATCAAGACAGTTGTGCATAAATCCAACTTTTTTTGCACAATTTGCAGTTTGTGTTGAAAGTTGACATGATGCTTTAAACCTTCTGATGCACTCTTACATTTGTATGTTCTCCACAGAAAACATCTTACCAGATCACAAAGCTGTGAGTTCCCATGAGGATGGATCAGGTGCAGCCATTGCCATGGCTGGGAGGTGGCAGATAATGTTATATACACTGACTGGAAGACTACATCAGAAGAAAAAACAGAGTAAGGCACCACTGTTGGAAAAAATTAAGGTAGCTTGTAGTTACAACAATAACGAAAGCCATAATAAGTACTAATCTTAATTGCCAGCAATTCTTTAACTTCAATAAAATAGGTATAAAAAACAAAGGATGTTTGTACCTGAATACAGTTTCCTGATACCAGATTGTGTTTCAAATCAATACCCAGTCTTCAGCATTATCAGCTTTTTTTTTTTTAAATAATATTTAAGATGAAAAAACCAAAACCTACAGTCCATGTATTCACAGGTCACATTTCACTGCTTTGTTCTGATTAACACCACAGGAGAAAAACCAAAACAATCCAAAGGACAGTTTGTAACACTGATACTTCACCTCTGCGATGATCAGATGGGTAGAGAAGTTTAAATACAAAATTGTGTATTTTCTGTTCTGTTTGAAAGCCTCAGTCCTTGGAAGGGAAGGTGGAAGAGAAAAGGCCAAACCTCATTACATTACAACAGGAGGAAAAAAAAGGTTACTCAAAGATTTAATAAAATTAGGAGTTGAAAAGTGTTCAAATTACTTTTTCAATTCAAGTCAAATATTTCAAGTATATTAAAATGTTTCAGAGGAAAAATTTCTCCATGGTTACGATTCTAATTACTTTTATAAATCCATAAAAAAGAAAGGTAGTCTCTACAGATATTCCATATTCCTCCGGTGCATGCACGTTTTCTCTCTGAAGAAAGAAGTTTCCACGATCCAGTTGATTCTTAACACTGATTTCAGGCACATCTTCCAAGCACCTCTCCAGTTTGTTTTTGCCAACGAAGGTCTAACGTTGGGCATAAAAGCAGCAATTTTTGGTTGCTGTTTTCTACATGGGTACCAAGCATACTTCAGTCATTAAATAGTTTGATGTAGAAAGAAGTTCCCATGTCACTCTGAACACCAAACAGTTTCTCTTTCTCTTAGGCAGCTTTTGCAATCAGACAGACCTACTTAGAAGACTCTTACACAAGTCAGATAAAATCTTCAGGATCATACAAAAAAAACAAAGTTGGTTGAATGTGTACCTGGCAAGTATGTCTCTACGACCTTGTTCTGAATAGCTTTAAAGTGCCCTAGTTTATTTCCTTATGCTCATTCAAGCTTTCGCTATTATATAAAAAGGGGACACTCAGTGTGATTACTGCATTTTGAGAGACAGAAAAAGAATATCAGAAATGGGAAACTCATCTTTAAGCAGCTTTTCTAGTTAGCGTCCGTTTGCTGAGTTTGCACGGCAGAGACTGCTCTCCAAAGGGGTTTATGATAAACCCAGCCATCTCCCTGCAATTTAAAGAGAAAATACAGTTATAACAGACACTGCCTCAGCTGAAGCCTCTTTGCACAACTACTACACCAATAGCTGTGTAAAACCAAAGGGATGTCGCTTATACTTTTAAGTCACACAGATTAAGACAGAGATCAACACTGCAGGCCACTGAACCTACCTGAGAGCATGCATGATTCCAGCTGAGCCACAGCTGAGCTCTGGGAACTGACTGTACTTGCAATTAACCCACACAGAAAAATCACTCTTCTCAACTCCATGATCCAGATTTCATTAAAAGGCCAAACCAAGACACCAGCAAAGGGACAACCAACCAACCATTACCAGCTCTAACACAGTCTGACCACGTTCCTGGAAATTACATAGTTCTGCTTTTCATTTAAAAATTTTATGGGTACAATACCACCTGCATCACAAGGAATGTCCACTTCAAAGCTACCATATCAGTAGCCACTTGTTTTCCTGCACAGCCTGCACTTCTAATACCATTACTGCAACATTTGTTCAATGGCTCAACCAATAAGCTCAATCCAAAACTTAATATGCCAGAAAATAAGTTCTAAGTTGAAAGTGAATGCTTCTAAACATTTAATTATAGAGTAACTGAAGAAAAAAATAAATCACAGTGTTTAGGAAACAAAGGGTAAATCACACTTGGGAGCTCACGTGTTACCTCAGCAGTATGCATCCCGTGAAACTAAATGATAAGATGCAAGTCCAGATACTCTGTTCTGACAGAACACACCCACACACGCACCTGCTTCCACTGTAGCTCTGCCTTTGCCAGCTAAGTACTTTGGGACTTACTTCTTTAATGAAGTATTTAGTACACCAAGGAGTTTCTGTTTCAGCACGAAGCCTTTCTTCATTCCTCTGTCGTTCCTCAAGGGCCCGCTTGTGCTCTGTAGCTTTATCGATGTCTCCATCCCGCAGAGACTCCGTTACATGTTGCCACAGCCTCCTACAAAGCAAGTTGTTAACTTCAGTTTTCCAAAGTTTCCTTAGCTCACCACATTAAACCGCAAGGCAGAATCACTGCATGCAGTTCTTCCAAAATAACTGCTCTATGCACAGCAAACAACAAAAGACAAAGCATGATGATGTGACACAGGTGGAGAGGCTTGTGGCTGAGCCTCACACCTATAGGAGCAAGATAAGAAAAGGCTCTGAGGCTTCAATTGCACTTATCTAATGCCAGCCTGCACACCCTTTGGAAGTTGCTATGGAAGCATTATTCAACAGCTTCTCATAAGGACCTTCCTCAGCAGGCACTGCTCAGCTGTGTGGCTTTTCCAAGGCATTCTCACCAGACTACTCAGGACAAAAAAGGGTCAGACAAAAATAAATGTACGTATTTTACCTAGATTCAAATGGTCCTTGCTTCTCAATGGGCCGGACTCGTTTTCGTGTCACCGACAATTTTGTCAAGTCCACATATTTTGTCTCCCCGTTGCTGTAGGTGAATTCAAGCACGCTGTTCCACTCCCCTTGCACTCTGCACACCACTGTGTTGGTCATGTTCTGCTTCACTTCACCTGTGACTCTAGGAAATTGTGTTATTTTTAAAAGACCATGGTCAGAGACACCTGAGGACAATTCACTGCATTAATCAACCTCATTCCAAAAGAGTTGGTATGCTTGTCACGCTGCCCTGACAAGCGTTAGTTACTTGAAGGCATGGAGACTGCATTGGCATGGAGAAGCTCAGAGCACAAAGTGACTTTTCTTTATTGCTCCAGTTCCTTTTGTGTTACCCAGAAAAGCATTTTGATTTTGGCTTCAGCATAGAATTGTTTTGAGTCTTTTAACCAAAACAAACAAACAAGGCATGTTATAAGTAACAAGCACTATAGAAAAATATCCATCCCATCAGATATGTAGCTCAGACTGAAAGACAGAAGTGAAGCCGTTTACCAGGAATGTATCCCACTAACTGCCCAGCTCAAGCAGAGCTTGAAGAAAAAGAAACAAAAGAGTTTGCAAATTACACAGGTAATGCTCAAGACATGACCTCACTTGCAAGGTGCTGAAGGCTACAGAAAGGACACCATTTCTACCTTCAGTTGAACTCTCATTACCTGCATATAGACAATATACAGCACACCACTTCCCAGCTTCCAGTCCCCTCAGCACAGGGATACTGGGTGCTGGATGTGCTGAGAACTCATGGGGCATGCTGTGGGCATGGCAGGATGGAGTCAACTGGCCCATGGCAGGAGGCCATTTATGATGAAACATCTGAATTTTGGCCATCTTTTTCCAGTAAGATTAAATTGGTTTGCAAGATGTTTGAGAGAAAAAACCCTAAAATTACATGCTGATCAAGCACACAGTTTCCTATTACCAAAATTTAAGATTTGCTTAGGAAAACAAGCTAGAGTGGGAACAACATGAGCAGTAAGAGCACATGTATGCCTCTTGAAGTTAACAAGTGGGTAGGAGTTTCTGAAAATAACTAAAAGAGCAGGCCACGGACAAGCAGCCTTCCTCTTCTACTGCTTTTTCTTCTTGTGACTCTCACACCTCACTGAAAGTATTGCACAGGTGAAGCACCCGTCCTCCCCCAGACTGAATCCACACAGTGCCAGAAAGCAGCCAGGTCACACTGCAGTCACATCTCCAGAAGGCTGTGCTCTTTAATATTCTTAAGTGGTGACAGCAGAGCACCTGACAACCCAGCATTTTAATATCAATCATAAAATTACAGTCTCTACTTAGCACAAAGTAAACAAGGTTTTATCACTCGTGCAGCATTACAAGGCACTGCACTGAGCTGCTAAATTAAACTCTTGTTGTGACCCATATTTCCTCCCACTGTATTACTCAGTGACACCACCATTCCCACACTGCAGAACACGATATCTGCCTGAACCAATACCAGTGACAAAGCCTGGGAGCATTCGTCTGCAGGCTTGGCATGACTGATATATGCCTGGCTATCTGAGATTACTATCATCATCTGTTTGATCAAGCTAAAGGGGCACAGGGCCAAGCAGCCAATACCCAGCTGAGGGCTGGCAATAAGGGTCAACACAAATCTATAATGTTGCCATAGCAACTTACTTGCACTCTGTGTAACCATGACAACACTGCTGCTTCCCCATCAAGCGATTCTTTTGGCAACGGTCAATCATTACTGCATCAGATTTCCAATAGTTTCCAGTACATTGAGTGAATCTGTCTAAAAAAAGCCTCTATATACACTAATTTCATGGAGACAAGTAGAACATTTTCCAAAATTTAATCATTAACTTAAAAATGCATCCTACAGCTAAATTTTTACTGGAGCGACTGGAAGGTGGAAGCTGTATTGTAAGCAATGGAAATAAGGATCCCAAATGACATAGCTTCAGCTGTGTTTCACTTGCAACATTTTTTTTTTAAAAAAACACACGATCTTCAGTTCTCCAGATATCACTGAGATGGTTAGCTTTGGCTGCAGGGTAAATTCAAAGCATGTCTGGGAACATAAGGGACAAGGCACTTCAATGTGAAGGTCTGGGTGCTTTTTGTTTTCTTTCAACATATAAGTAGATCCTTGCCCTAATGTTCCAGAAAAAGTATTTTTCTCCCCAATTATTTATTTTTTGCAATCTGAAGAGTCCAAATCACGTTTCAGAAGTCCTGATAAGCCAGGCAGTTACATACTTCATTACTGCCTCTTGAACATTAAATCTAAGGAAAGATTTAAACAAGTGCTGTCCAGTACATGGCAGAGAGCAAAATGCTCCACAATCACATATTCTGTGTGAGACTAGTGCCTCACTTTTCTTTTCATTAACTCACTGTCACCATAATAGCACAAGGCTAATCTTGCAGCGTGCAGTCTTACTATAAGGAATCTCTAAAAACACCACTGTTAATCAGTTTTAAAAGGCTTTGCACCAAGTGCACAGATGTTTACAGGGATTTCCTGGAAGAAACCCCAAGCAAACTTCCCCTTAGTCCTCTTTTATCCGTTAGTCTCTGAATAAGGACATATACGAGGAATCACCATTACAAGATCAAACATTCTGGTCTTTAAGGAAAGAAATGAAACAGAAGTTGACAGGTATTTCTACCTAGAGATTTTCTTCAAGTTGCTTAAGCTTGATGGGATTTGTTTCTCACACTGTTTCTATCTTTTGATTAAATGCAAGCTGGAGACTCCTTCATATAACACTGCTGAGGTACTCAAAGAGAAAAAAGTTCAAGGCCACACAACTAACTACAAAACATGCTGTAAAACATGCTAACCAGCTCATTTCAGTAAGAAGAAATCTGTAGCAGTCAGGAAAAGAAGCCAGGAGCTCTGCTTTCCCAAGGGTTTGAACTGAGAGTCAGAGAAACTAGGGATTTCTTTACTGCCTTTAAATGTAACCTCACTGTTCCTTAAGGATCACAAGATGTTGTTTCAGAGCAAAGTAACATCTCAAGTATTCACCGATAGTGAGAACAGAGTCATGCTCAGACTACTGGAACACTTATTCAGCACACAAGAAAAAAAAAAAAGCAGTTACACAGCTGCTGGAGCTCCAGAGCACAGACAAATGTGGAAAAACAGAGAAAGTGTCCTCACCGATGCAATTTCCCACCATAGAAGGGTTTGGTGTGGAAGTTAATACTTGCAGAATATCCTGTCTTTGCACAGTTTATGTTGACTTTTCCTCCCAGTTCTACCCAGGGAACAGTCAAAATTGATCGAGCATACGCACAGGGCAGAGAGAACGTGTATTCTTCCTCGTGTTCCAAGAGGCTTAGGAGACCTGGGAAAAGAAACATCCTTAAGTGAGCACTGTTTTAGAAATGACCAAACAAGTTATTGAAACCACAGACAGTACTACATCTGACTACCTTTCCTCATCATTCCTTCAGATGAAAGAAAAACAAAAGTGACATTTATTACAGATTCCAGACACTCAAGGTTAGTGCTCTTAGTAAAATGTAATGCACACTTATGTTTCTTTCTTGAAATGAGATTATCCTAATAATATCTATCCAAAAAATACAATACTGAGCAGTGCAATATACTTCTCAGCCAAATGTAAAAAGGCTGTCACTGTCTTATGGAGAGCTCTGGAGCACGACAACATTTATGCAGCCAAAAGGAAAAAATGAATGAATACCCTGAACTGCAGTTCTTGAGGAATGACACTACTCCTGTTCCTCCCCCTTTACCACACCCTACTCTACCTGAATGCAGGTAGCAGAGACTTATTGCTACTACACTTCTTTGTCAAGATAGACTTGACTCTTTCCTGACAACAGTTTTTGTTAAGAAACTCATGAAAACCAGATATTTTCTCTGGGTTTTAAGATGTGGTTGGTTTTTTTTGTTTGTTTGTTTTTTAAATAGGAATCAAAGACCCCCATCACAGAAAGTCTACCTGTCAGCATTACAAGAGCACAGTATGGCAGTTGACTGCTGTCTGCATCAAGCCCTGCCTCTGCAGCATGCCAGCGCTGTGCTTCTGACATTCATTTTCAGAGTTCCTCCTGGTTTTCAGATTCATGATATGAGGAAAGCCCAAGAGGAGACATTCACAACTGAAATTACCTGGTACAGACGAAGCACTGAGATATGCATTCCATCCCCCTGCCATGCTCACTACTTCTCAGCTGACACTCAAATGTCTGAACCTACATGCCATCAGTTGCTGAGCAATATACACAAGAAACATAATGGGCAACGCTGTCTCAGCTCTCACAGTAAAATTACTGCTAAAGAGGAATTACCCACTTTGTCCCTAAAGGATCTAATTTCCATAGCTGAAGAGAATTAAAACAATATATTTGCAATATATGCAAATAGTGTTTATTTTTAACAAATATCTGGTACAAGCTATTTTGTGCAATGCTTTGGAAACATTCACAAAGACCAGTTTGCACTTACTGCTCTTTGGTTCAGAAGTCAAAAATTGAATGCCAAAATATTCCTGATCTTTGGCAAAGTGTAAATTTATCCATTTTTTTCCCCCCAAGCCTGCTGTTTATAATGAGGACTTATAGTTATCGCCTGTGCTTTGTAAAGCATAAAAAAAAAAATAATCACCAGATGACTGTACATAAAGGTTCTCCAGATTTGAGATTAAAGGAAAACCAGAAAAAAAAAAAAAAAAGCCTGAAAACCCATGGTGGCAAGTGTAGTATTGGTAAAAAGCTTTTTCTGAAACACCTTTGAAACAAAACCACCAAGTGGTATTCACCTGTATTTCTGACAGAGACACACAGCATTGAATTTTCTCTCAAATTATTGTGTTCAGCAACTTCACAATAAAGGAAAAATATTACACTTACCTTCACCAACCATCGTCACCCCTATTGACATTCCCAAAAATTTACTCTTTGTCCAGACATGAGCATTGACACACATCTTTCTCTCCACACATTCAGCATAAAATCCTGACACAGGAGGGTGGTGGGACACTTGCTCGGCTACAAACTTTACTGTGTAGTAGTCCGACTCTGCTCGGCCTTCCAGATCTTTAGACAAAGTTATTTGCTCAGAGGTGGAGTGAGCAGAGATGTTACTGCCGCCGTCAGTGGCTACTTCACTCTTGGGCATCCTCCAGGAGCAGTGAAACGTTTCCCCAATGATGGGATTGTATGGTTTCTTTGCAATAGCTCCTTTGCGACCTTCATGAAAGGAAGTGAGATAATACTCCACAAAGCGGATCATCCTCTCCTCAGGGCTGCTGCCATTCGTGATGGCAATGAAGAGATCAGGATGGGACATGAAGTCCGCATACATCTCCAACAGCGATCGCTTCTCTAAAATAAAAGTGGGAAGAACCACCTGAAATAAAGCAAAAGGCTGTAGTAAGTGAAAAGAAAAGGCAGGCAATTTCATAAGGGAAGTTCTCAGGTAGTGGATTCTGTCTTGCTTTGGACATCGCGCTTTCAGATTGAACCTCACTACCCCTCTTCGAAGACATGAGCAAAGTGGAGTGATCGTGGATCCTAGAAAAGTTCTTCAAAGAGAAAAGAATCCGACAGGTAAGGGACTGAGTACCCCCAGTAACAATAAATAAATCAGCACTGAAGAAAGGGATGTGTTCCACATACCTGTAGAGTAGAAAACAGGCAGGACAGAACTCAAACTATAGCAAGGAAGGTTCACAGCAGAGGTTAGAAAAGGTTTTGTCTAATAGAGTGAAAAAGCACACAAGCTGTGCCAACGTGCTTGAAAGCCTGCTGTCTCTCACATCACAAAAATAGGACAAGTATTTATCAGAAATAATAAATTAAGCTAAGCCTCTACCTTTGAGCAGAAGACTTAACACCTCCCCATCTATATCCACTACTGTAATAAAAAAGTAGAAGGGATATCTTTTGCTGGGCCAAGAAAAAAAATATATAAGAAGGATGTATTATCAGTCTTTTCCTTCCCTGCAGTGAGAATGAACCTCACATAACTAGCTTTGTTGTAATAAGCAAGACAAGACTGTCTCAAGCAGGAGATCAAACAGTTCATTCAAGTCTGTTGCATTCAAAGAGGTGTCTTCACACTTCAGTTACTTACTCTTGTTAAGTCCATGCCAAGTTTCAGCTGAGACAAGAGATGCAAGATAACACTGCGCTGCTCCTCCACTCCTCCTAGATCATCTTCTTTATCATCACAGAGGTCCTCCAGCTCCTCATCTGGATTTATTTCTTCAGGTTCCTGGAATAAGAGCCATAAATATCAGGTCAAAGATGCATCTGATCCATACAGTATCCAAAAAGGACTTCCTCTTGTACTGTAAGTCTCCATGTATGATACAAGAGATTATATAAATCCAGATATCTGTGGAACATCCTGGGACAAACAGCTGAGTGGAGGGGTGATGCCCTGAGTGCCAGGAGATAGCAGTAATATGTAACTGCCCTAAGGCCTTCCCCCTAGATCAGCAGCCATCAGCTCAAGGCAAATTCCTCATCATCCAACCACCACAGAAAACACAAGGGTCCACATCCTCATGCAGAGCCCATAGCCTGACGAACAGTGCAGTATCACACAGAGCCATACAATCATACGATGGCTTGGGTTGGAAGAAACCTCAAGGACCATGAAGCTCCAACCCCCCCCGTTGTATGAGCAAGTCCATTCCAAGGGCGCTGCGTTGTTCTACTGCCAAAAAAAATAAGGTAACTGAAAACATCCATGGAAAGTGATAATACTGGTCATACCATAACTACAGACAGTGACATACATTAGTAATTAAGGGAGTTGGAGCTTAAGTGCTTAGTAGGAGGAAGGAACCAAAGGGATACATTTGAAAACTCCTGTTTACTTTCTACTCAGTTTTGCTTGTCATTTCTTCTTCCCGTTTTAACTTAATGACAATTAGACCTATTTAAAAACTAACAAAATATAAAAACCTAAAGATGTTTCAGTTGCCATTTTGCTGTAAGACAGCAAAGTGAAACAGATGCTGCTATAGAGACATACAGCCACACATGATCGTTTCACAATAGCAGCCTCACATACAGAACTGTGTGAAATCAAGTGGTATAGAAAGAATGTAATTACAGTTTTCTACCTCAGCTAGAAAAACATCTTTTTAAATAATCCTGTTCTTTTACTTGAATATTTTGCACTTCATATTCTTTTTGACAGTTATAATGACACAGACTGTAGTTGTATTTCAGAAATATAAGCCATCAGAAGCCAACTGTTGAGAGTTGCTCACATTAAGAAAAACACATGCAGCAAAAGCTGGAAAAGAAAGATGGGAAGATTTAATAGCTGAAGATTGGCACTTTTTTCCTCTCATCTACATAAGCAGCTCTTCTTGGGCCTATTTTGTGAGTGTCATGAATTCCAATTAGGTCTTCTACACTTAGACTCCAGTTGTTTTAGATCAACATGCAAAGGAACAGTGCCTCTTTCATCACCTGGCATTACTGTCCCAACTGGCTCCCTGTGACAGCTATTTAGAGAAAGCTGCAAAACTCATTGAAAAAGCATGCCATGAAACTTTAATTTACTGCAATTGCACTTGCTCCTCCTCCAACGCAGCTAATTGAAAAGTCTGAGAAGAACTGTATTTAAATCACTTTCTATAACATGATCAGGTATTCCTCAGAAACTCCCCACGGAAAGAGGATTTTCACATTACCTTACCCTTGTTAGCTGGCAGGGCTCCGCAATGGACTGCTCCTCTCTGACAGATGCTGGCTTGTTTATCTCTGCTGGGAAATTCTGAGCTGCCCCATTTTTGAAGTGGTTTGACAGGGATATCTTTGGTTCCAACCAACTGATCGTCGTTCCTGAAGCAAAAGAGAGTTTGCGCTGAAACTTGCTCATCCTCCACGAGGGCAGCAGATAGCAGTTGTCCCCAGAACAGCTTTCTGAAGGAGAAGCTGCAAGCAGCAAGATCCTCCTGCAGCCAATCCCTTCAGCAGCCACCGAACAAAGGTGGTGCAATGAGACACCACCTTCGGCGATCATTAGCACAAACCCTGCGATTGGCGAGCTGTAATGCGTGCAACTTGCACTGGAGCAACCCGCCGGTGTCAGGCAAGGTGTAATCAGACACTCCAGGAAGAACCCAATCGACAGGAACTTAACCCTTGCAGGTTTCTTTAACTCATACAAAAAAGCACACCGCTTATCACCTTCTCAAGCCCAGCTCCGTTCTAGACTAAAAAAAAGCCAAAGAAGATAAAGTTTTGCTGCCAATGTTTTCCTCTGGAGAGGGTAGTCATCTTTTCTTGGCTGCAAAGGAGGCAGGCACATGCTGCTGAATAAATAATAGTAGCTCAAAAAAGCTGCAGGGCTTGGAAAGCCGTTTACCCACTCAGTGACTTCGATATCTCCAGTTACTCCCAGCTAATTTATCAGGACAGTTCAAGTTCCTCATTAATAATGCAAATGTTCCATTCTTTTTCAAAGGCTAATAAACGAACAGGTGACTCCTGAAGTTTTTTACTGAATCAAAACACAAACTGTGACAAGGCTGCCAGCACAGAAATGATGTGCAAGTCCCAATTTGTAGAACTGATAAAGCATCCTTCTGCACTTCAGAACACACATCAGAAAGGATGTGATCTTTCTATGCCACCCAAAATACTCTCCTTGCAGAGCTCTGTTACCTGCAACTAGGTCACAGCCTCAGCCACAACAGAGGAAATTTAAATAAGAACATTTCCACCAGGAAAAGTACTGGGGTAGGAAAAAAAAAATGTACAGCTTTTAAGAATGCAAGAATCTCTAAGCATGCATTCTAGACTGCATGCAATGCACACTCACTGCCTATGCACGGCTTGGATTTAACAGCTATCCCCCATTTTATGCTATCAGTTACTAAAAGAATCTTAAAAGTTCAATTTCATTTCACTGCTAAACTCTAGGAGGTTTTTAAAAGTTATTCGAGATACCAGGTATGCTATAATGATAGAGGGAACAGGATATCACACCAACACTTCTCTCCCGTTGGAATATCACACTCAAATCTGTTCTCAGCTACTTCAGGTAACACAACCTATTCTCCTTATCTGTGATCTCCTCATCCCCTAAGAGAGGTTTTTTTTATTGTTTTTTTTTGTTTGTTTGTTTGTTTGTTTTTTAAATCCAGTACATGATTTCATCACTTAACATTTCTGAAACTCAAGCCAATAGTTGAAACTTCCCTATTCATCTCCAAGACTGATTTTCGGGACACCTCAATGCAGCTGGGGCACTATTTTCACTCCTCTGGGGTTTCTTGTTTGTATTTTAGTTTGTTCCTCCCTCCCTGACCCTCTTCTACAAATATAGCAAACTGACATTCTTTCCCACAAAGCTGAACTTCTAAAGTCGAAGTGGGGATACATGATCACCCCCACAAATCATAGTGATTCAAAGGCAAAACAAACACAAAGCCACCTTTGTAACACATACACACACACACACACACACACCAAAAAAAAAAAACACATCAGAAAGAGAGCGATCTCCCATCTTTACACACTGATTATTACAAATTGGCTGGGAGCAGGGAAAGTTCTTTCAGTGTGAGTAACTTTGGAGTCAGACTAAGATTTGGAGAGATGACATCCAGTTCGTTGTTTCTATAGAGTCCTTTTTGAACTGAAATACTGCAAGAGTTAACCTGTCCTATTCACACTTTCCCTTCTAAAACCTGTCATCGTTTAAAATAAACTACATCAATACAACAAACTTTCTTTGCGTGGAAAGCTAAACTAATTATAGCTTTGGAATAATATGCATTGCCAAAGCAAATACCAGAAAAATGACATGCAAATGCAAATACCAGAAAAAAGGGATGTGAGAAAGATAAAGAAAGTGACAACTTACAAGTGTAGTTTACTGCATACTTACTATAACACACCTGTTGCATAATAGAAGCATTTGAGTAAAGTTTGTTGCTTACAAAGTCACTAAGCAAATCCAGAGCTTCATTATTTTAATGCTTAGCTAGAAATTAAAGCTTTGCATATGTAAATGCTTACAGTAGGCATTAAGTGTGTAAATAAGTCAGAGAAGCACAACATTTGGCAGAGTTCCAGAAGATAGCACATACCCTTTGTGCCTGTGACCCCACAGAAATCCCCCTCCATCATTACTGTTCCTGCATCCCAAAGGAGCCTTTCTACTGCAGAGCCTTATGGACTTTTTTCTGTCATGAGATCATCTGCATTAATCAGTTGTTTCATTCATGCAGCTATTACAGATTTCCTTAATAGAGAAATCTATAGACAAGAGGGGAAACATGCGCAGGAGTTGTACTTAACATCAACAAATCCAGACAAGCTCACCAGTAACAAGGCAGACAGCAGTTGTCTCTGCCCACAGGCAACTAGATTTAGTGGGACAAGCATTTTCAGAAGCGAAGAGAGAAAGGCTTCATACTTGTTATACGGTTCAGCTCTTTGTAAACATCTACACTCACCTGCTGGTAAGGATCCCTTTTGTTGTGAAGCGTGTTGTAACTGGAGAATATGGAAACAGTCATTTAAGCAGTTCATGGTTGCCATGGAAGTTGCTTTGAGCATTAATAGGTCTTGATCCAAGGACGTAAGGTGACCGGAGACAGGAAGGCATTCTATGCTCCTGATCAAGTCTCTCTGCTGGCCCTCAGCCTGCGACATCATCTACCAAACAAAGCAGGTGTGCATCAGAAGGTGACGGAAGCTGCTGTGTGATGTGCCAGACATGCAGACACAGAGTCCCACATGACTTAATGATAATAAAACTAAAATGTCATAGGTGTGTGTACATTTAACCATACTTCTTTCCTTCATGCAGCCACTACACATCATTAAATTCTCACTGAAATACATAGCAACTTATTAACATCCATACCACTGCTATGCACAGCTTTGCTATCACACTGCTTACTTAGCACAGGGAATAAGAGCAGCAGCAGGATTTTCACCTTCACTGTTTGTCAAATTGTAGCTTTCCTTGTTATTTTTTCCCTTTGCTCTTCCCTGTTCTCCTTTCCTGCTTCCTCTGGAACAGGGCTGTACACCCCTACATTACAGAACCTGCAACAGCACATCTCATTTGCCTGCCAGAGGTAGAGCATGAACACACACCAGCCAAACAGCATCAACAAAACAATATGAATTCCTCTTTGAGCTCACAGAAGTGTAACTCGAATCATAGGGATGCAAGGAGACTCATATATATTAGTCACTTTTCTGGGAAGACACAACAGACAGTATTAATGCAACTGGGTGCTGCTATTCTGCCATCATTATGCATTCAGGCAGTAAATTAAATATAAAAATAGACTGATTAAGCAGAGTAGAAAAAGGATTTATTAAAAGAATCCAGGATGCATTCATGTGCTTTACTGCTGCGGTACTATTGAGGCTTTTAATTTAGCAATTCTGGCAATTATCCTAGTATTTTTTTCCTATATCCTTGCCTCAAGTTTCTTCCAGGAACTGCTGTTAAGGTTTTACACAGTACTCGAGCAATAGGTATTCACCTGACTTCATGATATGTGGTAATTGGAACATTTTAGGGCTTGGCCACAACGTACATTGTGGTGTGAACATACAGAGGCCTGGGCTCTTCAGAGGTGCCGTTACCCACACACAGGCACCTGTCCCAGGTGTGGCAGTGCAGGAAGCCAGCAAACACTCGGTGAATGCAGCGTCAGCACTGGCAGGGCTACGTAACCAGCAGAACAGTGTCTGCTTCCTGTCAAGAATATGATTTGAGTCTTCTTTACCCCTGCTCCCTCAATGCTTCATAAGGTTCTGCTGAGTTAAGAAAAAGATGGGCATTGGCTGGCAAACCACTGCAGCCCTACCGGTGACCTTTTCTCAGCACTTCATTCCAGGGCTAGGTCAGACAACAAGACAAGCCACACCGTACTCAGCACTGGCATTTAAACAGCCACATCTGCCCTTTCTACAAACGTACTTTGAACAGGCTTAAGTTCTTCTTGTTTGGATATTCAGATTTGTAAAACAAACAGCGCTGGCGGTAGGGGAGAGAAGCACTGTTACAGAAGACAAGAGGTCAGAAGTATGCAAGGTATAGCTCTCATTTTGCAACTGCATGCACCTACATTTACAGTAAGTCAGCACAAATATCCTCTCAGATCTCCTGTTTTGCAAGGCACCCTAGACAGCAGCATTTGGTGAACTGCTATTTGGTGAAGAACAAGGAGAAGGGAAAAGGACCGACAGAATAGCTGCACTGCAAGCCATTGGGAAGTTCACAGAAAAAATCACCACGCAGCAGATAACTTGAAAGAAATGGGCTCTTCCATCCATTTGAGAAGCTATGGGAAGCATTGGAAGTATATTCACCTCAAATGTAGCAAGAATGCTCAAATGTAACTTGCCTTTTTTTATTTCAAGCATTTTAACTGTATCTAAAAAACCCCAGGCGTGTATCCAACAAGCATTTTGACTTCAAAAAGATAAGCAAACTGACATCCAGAGCATTCTTCATTTACACAGATCAAAAAACCAACTAAGTAATAATCAAAAGAAAAAACAAATCATTTCCTGCTCTCCTGGCAACGCTAAGAGAAGTCATTCAACTTGGAGAAAACACTCTGATTTGAACAGAAGTTCACATATTCTGAGGTTTGAACACAGACCCACTGTGCAGCCTGGTGAACAATTATGCCTCAGGATTTGATATAATCAAGAACACTAATGATGGAAGCATACCTACCAGGGCAAAGCATTTTGCACCCCACATTACAAACTCCCACTGATGAATTTACCAGCATCCAGACAGACATTCTGGGGTTAATGACACAATACTCTCTTGTCCCAGTTTCTCTAAGTGCAATTTTTAACAATTCATGCTTGCTAGACCCTTATTCATTAAATTAAAAAGCCCTCCATTAGAAACCTTTTCCCAGTAAGTGCTATCCCAATTAGTGCTATGCTAATTACACTGCTAATGCTAAAATACTCACTAATACCAGAAGTGCTACGAAATAACAAAGGTCATACAAGGTAAAAGAACAACTCAGTGGATTGGTCTACAACTTGACACTGGAAAAAGCATGATGTACAACACGTCAGTAACATATCACATGATGGCAAACCTTTAGCACCAGATTTGCAAAGATCATAGTCACAGAATACATGTCATATGATTCTACAACAAGTCAGGTTAAATTACTTAATCTAACATAGCTAAGCAGTAATAGTTTGGGAGATGTGACTGACAACACATGCATTTAATTAAAAACAGATTTCTCCACGGTGCTAAATATAAGACAATGGTTCTTTCAAGAGGTTGTTAGGTAATTCAAGGTTTACAGACCTCTCGGACATCTACAAGGTGATCTGGCTGCAGAATAGGACCTCTTTTTCCAGCAGGCAATCTGTGATGCCCAACGTTGAAAAAGGAAACTGCATTTTGGCTGGGTCTTCTTTGCAGCCCTGGAGAGTTGATGCTTCCTTGGGATGCGAGAGAGAAGCTGCGAGATTTCAGAGGAGGGTTGTTCTGGTGAATAAATAAGAAGATTGAGAAATATTTACAATTAATTACAATAATTAACCAGCAAGCGTTCTAATTTAAACCATGTAGAAGAACATTTAATCCCGGATTCTTAGTGGAGCAGTAACAGATGACAAAGCCATAAACATATTGGCAGCAACTGCTAAAAGGAATATTTTGTACTGCTGACAACTGCCCTGCTTTACAGTCTAATTATAAGGAATCAGTGCAATGAGATGGATCAATACCTATCACTTCTGACTTGAAAATTAGTCCTTGATCTGCAACAGTTCTAGAAACTGACTGCCCGTGGATCCTGCATGGGTAGAACTCACATTTGAGAGAAAGGAATTTCAGTCTGAACTATTCATTGAAGTAAACATTAGCTCAGGATCAACCCGCTGCAGATCATTCAATTTTAAAAGCAAGGTTTCATTCAGATAACACATAGCTTTTATACTAATCAGGAGTTTCTACAAATTGTATTACATTCACAACCACCCCACAAAGAACAAAGGTAAGCAACACTTGAAGAATTAAGGGCTTATTTCTCAAACATGGAAAAAAGTAAAATAAAAAGTAAAGCTTCCAAACGAAAGACCTTCCATAAAAATTAAATGAAGTTCAAAAACCATTTGAAAAGCTGAGCTTTTACTCTCATCATTAAGTTCTGCTTCCTGATCAAATACCAGCTCGCCAGCACCTGGTCAGGGAGGACCACTCAAATATCCCAAGGCAAAGCCACTTCATTTCCTTCCTAAAGCATGCTGCCAGTACAAGTTAGCCATTGCTCAAAGGTATATTCCTTGTCAAGAGTCCCAAGCCCAACCACATGCTCTTTTGCTAGTATTTGTTTTAGATAACAGGATAGTTGCATTTCCACCTACTTCTTCCACCACCCTAAATTATTTTTGCCCAGGAAAACATGAATCATACAATACCTTCCCAATAGCTTCTGTGTGATGCTGTGTGCATATCTGCAGCCTGCTAACCCAGTGCTGTCGTTCTTTAGCATCAGTAGCTAACAAAAGCAAAGCAAAAGGATCATGTACATGAAGATATTTAAGTACAGGCAAAAAAAACCCCATGCAATTCTATAAAACAGGCAGAGGACTTTCCAGGTCAGCTAAGCAAGCTTTAGATCCAAAAAACCTGTTGATTAGCCATAACACTGTGTGCTTCACACAAAACACTCAAAACACTCATTGCAACAGCTTGCTGCACAAGCTCTTTTGCTTTCAGACATGCAGCCAAGCCCAGAATAGCAGCCACAGGTAGAAGTTGGAAGTGCCTCTAGTGGAAAAGTCCCCTGCCCAAGAGCAGTAGTCCTACCTCTTAGCTTATACTGCTCCCCACTGGCAGCATTGACTGTAAAGGTGTGCGAGTCTTCATCACTGGGTGAAATTACAGCTCCTGCTAGCTGCAACGTGCCCCTGGGCTTCAGGTATCTAGACTGCTCATTCACAAAGTACTCCAGCAGGCCAGCATCATTGTTTAGAACGAAAAACCTGCAACGGTGACAAAGTAAACACAGAAAATAAGCCTGGGCTGTTATTTTTAAGGATGGGCAAAGGGGAAAAAAGCTAAGAAGTCAAAACTTTCATTACAAGTCAGTAGAGATGGGATTGGGATTTAAAGATTTGTGTCAATTCAGCCTCAGCCACGTGAAATATATTCCCAACAAGGCTGGCCACAATTCTTAGCAATTTTTTTCCTCAAAGATCAGGAATGTTATAGAGTAAGAGAATAAGAATGCTTTTACAAGATTTTAAGTTTTGGGAACTCTGAGGCCTAGCTCACCCTTAAACTATGTAAATTAAGGATAGAACAGTTACAGAACAGTGAAGTAACAATAAGCATATTGACACAAATCACTGCAAGGCAGAGGGAACAAGAATCTGGCCAAGGAGATACACAAAGGACTTATTTCTGATATTTATGTGGTTGAGCTGTGCTGCTCTAGGAAACAGGGTATAACAGGGTTCACCTGTTATAGAAGACCAAGTTAATCCATGGGAAACAAACAGCCCAGGGAACTAAAGGGAAAAGCTTGCTTAAGTTTGGATTTTCAGCCTTCTTATTTATTTAATGTGGTATTACCTGGCAGCAGGGCTGAATCCTCAAAAGAAAAAACAAAGGGAATAGTACAAGTTTTCAGAAAGGGACAAGGAGAATAGTATAGTATATATTATTATATATTATAGTTATATAATTATATTATATTATAATATTATATATTATAGTATATAGTATAGTATAATAGTATAGTTTAAAAAAAAAAAGCTTACCGATATTGCCAACCAGTGACGAGATTGGTGTACTTCATTAAGTAGCCACAAATATTTTCCATGTGATCACTACCACAGAAAGAAAAATAAAAGCAATCAAATAACAGCAGCATCAAATAAAGGCCAGATCTTCACAACTTTTGATCATTATCTGTTCTTTGAAAAGGAATTCTTAATTTTAAAACAGCACCATCATTCTTAATAAAAATATCAATAGTTTGCAAATTCTTCAGATTCATCTCTGACATTATTTCGTAAGACAGTTTAATTGGACTCAACGAACTCTAAATAATCTCAAGGCATAATTAGTTTCACCAACACCCGAGATTCATCCAGTAGCCACTCTGGATTAGTTGCAGGTGACAGAGACTTAGCACACATATCTCTTCTGTTTCACACTCATGTAAGCAAGCTTTGTAAACAAAACTAACTTTCAGTAAGTTCAGAGAAACTCAAGCACAGCCATCTACCAGAACTGGTCCCCAGGCACTCCTATACCACCAAAACCACTGTACTCACCCTTAATTACCAGAATCCTTCCTGAGTACACTAACAAATACAGATGCTGTACAGAAGACTACATGCAGGTTCTTGTCACATCAAGCTATTCCAAAGCATAAAACAAGTTTGAAACATTTGAAACATCTCCTCTGGCCTGGCAAGAAAGTCCAGTAGTTTCTCCTTCAATCCGAACTTGTGACATCCACCAAAACCAAGAACCAATGGAGGTACTCAGCGTGCAGGCTTAACATCACTACAGACACAACACATCCTCACTCCCGAACATTTACAGACCCAAGTAAGGCTTACAGGTGTTATGGCTATGTACTTATCTCCTTAAAACCACAATTTGAAAACTGATATAATACTGCACGTCCCCCCAGTGCCACTGCAATACCCTCAGCTCTTGCCAGAGCACAGCCCTGTAACTGAAGTAAGCACACACTTAGAGACAATTCAGCTCCTGTTCTCCCAATGAAGAACTGAAACAACAAGCCAAATATCAGACCCTAACCATTTGCTTTTTAAAAGAATCTCCTATTTAAGCCACTGGATTAGATTTTAAATTAAAATACCTGTAGATCACAGCACATTGAAGATTAAGTGATACTTATTCTGAAAACTATCCATCGGAGCAGCAACTTGTTTCACTCATTAAGAGCTCCAAGTACTTCCTACAAGCAGGAACAGAAGCTGGCAACAGAGCTAAAGGATCTCCCTTATTAATGGATTTTGATTACAAACACACTGGGACTAAATATTGGTGTAAATCTCAAGGAACAGCTGACGCAGCTGCCCACACTTCTTTACCAAGTGGTGTCAATGGCATCATGCTAGATGAGTGAACTGTGATGAGCTATTCAACAGCTGAGCAAGTATAACATATTGCACCAAGCTTCACCTTAAATGAAGCTGTTTAGGACACCGCCAACAAAAATAACCTCACAGTAAATCACTGCCATATGAGGAAGCCCTACCTTCAGTAGCAGAGTCCAAAGAAAAGATGGAAGAATGCACATTCTGGAAGAAAAAACAAAGTTGCAATGCTGCAAATCGACATTTAGAAGCACACAGTTGGTTATTAGTGCTGCCATTGCTATTACAGCAACATACTACAATGGAGAGCACCCAGTGGGACCATCTGGGAACCTAATTGGTAGCAGCTCATTAAGTGGTACTACACAGGTAAAAGTAATAGCCTGAATCCTCTCTGTCCTCCCAGCTATGGTGTATCTCAACTACATCAAAACACTACGGAGACATGACCAAGCACATCCTCTGCAGACACCTCATTTGTTGTTACGACATCCAAGTGCTGTGCAGTTTAGACATGCTCGCTGTCATCATCTGGCAGAAAATTGTGAGACAGCAGTCATAAACTTGTGTTTAATGGTCTGAAAATTGCCCCTCATCATGGCTAATTGGTTTCCATTTTGTGTTGTGAATCCAAACCTCACTCTTGCTTTGCAGCCACCCAGCAGCCTGCAGGCTCAGCACGCAGCTGCTGCCTTCCTCCATTCACTGCCTGCCTGGAACACAGGTATGTTTAGCAGCTAGGAGAGTCACAAAAGCAACCGCAGGCTGAAATTAATTGAACAGGACCGTATGTAAGGCAGAAGAAGTCCATTCATCTGATAGCAATGGTAAATTAAAAGTCTGATTGAAATTGTTAAACAGCATTGAGTGTGAATGATGAGACAACTGATCTGATCTGTCCAGAGAAAAAATAACCTGCTGCAGAATTGACAGAGATGCACTTCCACAGCAAAGCAGCACTTGACTAATTTGTCCAGAAAGACAGAGCAGGAACTCATGCAAAATGAGCCTTTTCTTGTCTTTTGACTTTCTGCCAGTCCAAGCAGAATATTGATTAAATTATTTTCTACCTTAATTGTGTCTGCACAGCTATACTGGAACTGCAAGCCAAAGAGCCTATATTTAGGTTTCACCCTGCCAGAGGCTGGACAAGCCCTCAACACCTATGCACAGCACAGATTAGCCTACCCAGAGCTATGAGAAACTCTGCTGGTATTTAGAACACTTGCTTGACAGCATGAGACCCTGGGAGCAAACAAACAAGCAAACATCTGAGCAGAAACACAGCCCTCAGAGGCATTAATCCCCAAATATACTGTGCAGATCAGGGAATTGCCAGCATTTGAACTAAGGCTTACTTTTAAATAAGAAACAATTTTTTAAACCTTACACACACACACAAAAAAAAAAAAAAAAAAAGCTTAAATCCAGACTGTAAAATGCAGTTCACAGGAGGCAGACCTTGTAACTGTACAAACCCACTGTAGAAACACTTAATCTCCTGATCTTCTTTTTTCCTATGTATACAGCAAAACATTCTCAGGATTATTAGCAAACAATGTCGTGAGGCAGAAAAAAAGCACTGTTTTTTAGAGAGAAATAATAATTCATTAAGATGGAATTAACATCAAGGCCCTTCAGAGAGCCACAGGAGGCACTTAGAAGGGCAAATTTCAAAAGCCAGTGACCTGGGCTCACGGATAACCACAGCAGCAGAAGACAGTAAAACATGACTCAGAGCTTCCTTCGAGCCCTTACCAGCACTGCACCAGGAGGAACAACAGCAAGACTTGCTTCACGTCAACCCCTACCATGGTATTTCTGATTTTAGAGAAATGGGTTTCAGAAGTGAATTTGACCACAAATACTGAGAAGCGATAACAAGGCGGGGCTGCACTGGGATCCTTCCCCTCTGTAGGAAAGCCTTGGCATTCCAGCTGCCAGCTCCATGCATGTGCATGTACCTGTGCCCTCTAACAACCCACATGCTGGGGCTGCTTTCCAAATGTTCACAGCAGTTCAGCCATAATGAGTCAACAGCCCTGAGGCCCACGTTCATGTAGAACTTCAGTATCCTCCCATCACCTCATGACAGAAGATGAGTGCAAGTGTCACAACAGACCCATCACAGCTTGGAACACCTAATGAAAAATTCTGCTTTAACTTTTGCTGAACTACTTCAAACAGCAATACCCAGCAAATCACAGCCAGTCCACACCACATCCTCCCCACCAATAAAGCATTTTTCAAAGGCCAAACATCACCCTGCTGCCCATCATTACATTTTCACTTATAAACAGTGAGGCAGATTAAACCGCCCCTGTAAGCAAGCGGTTAAAGTCAGCGAGGAGCTACAGAACAGTTCATTCTGCTTTCAGGGGACAGCCCCACCCCATTTGCAGTCACATCTTCCACAAGCGGTGTTTTCAGACCACCAAGCACCACTCCAAAGACAGACGACAGGATAAGCAAACTGGCAACAATCCTCTGTGAATGCTTTATTTCCTTGCTCATTTGTCCTTTTCTGAAGCCGCAGCAGCTGTCAGTGCCTCGTGGGCTGGTTTCCTCCTGGGGGAGGAAGGAGAGCGGGTGATGGCTGGGGCCTGGTTCCTCCTGCATCCTGTTTACAGGCAGCACCCAAGTCTTTCACACGGATGCTGAGGAGCACCAGTCCCTGAATGACATCTTCCATGATGAACGCAGGGCCAGCACCTCAGAGAACGCTCCACACTGGTGGCCTCCCCTTCTCCTCTCACATCACCCTCGAGCCTCACACACAAACACACCCTGTCCAGCAGCAGCACAGACCTTCACCTAGCTGGAAGGTGCTCACAGTGCTCCCAATGCAGCCCCTCTGATGCTTTTAGTTCTGATGAGCCTGGACAACTTCACACGTGATGCTTGGAGCAGCCAGGCATCCCTGAGCCAGCAGCTGCTCAAAGGGGCAGCCAACAGCTTCCCCACGAGGCCAGGCTTCGTGCAGCTGCTGAATGCACGTGGATTTGAGGAAATGAGCATCGTGCAGGGCAAACCAGTCGTATAACCATCACGGCTGGAAAAGAACTATGAGATCATCTAGTTCAACCATCAACCCATCCTCGCCACACCCGCTAACCATGTCCCTCAATGCATGGCTCTGACCACACAGTCTGAAGAAATAAAGCAGCAGCTGTTTCTACTGAACTTCATCTGTGATAGCTTGTTTACTTCTCATACATCAGTGCAGAGCACTCATCTACAAAGTATTAATTCCTCTTTTTGTTAAGAAGGAAACAGAGAAAGGAAAGAATAGATCTGCCAGCAGAAACTTTGGGCATGTCAGACAGCAGAGACCACATGGTCCCAGGAAAACACCAGCATTCTCCAAAACTGCAGCTCCGTGCTGCTGAGGATGGGTTTCCTAGCATCTGAAGGAGGAAGGGCAGAAGCCTTCATCCTGCCTACAGGGTATCCGCATCAACAAGCTAGCTCTGCTTTTACAAGTGCCTTCTGGAAGAAATTAAAAGGCAACCTTACCATGCTATTTACTAACAGTGCCATGCAGCTGACTGTGAAATGGCTGCAGGAGCTCCTGCTCTTCAGTTCACATTGGTGCTGCATTCCATTACAAGCTTAAAATACAACAGACAAGTGGGAAAAAAAAGAAAATGTCCAAGTCCACAACACTGACAGTAAATCTTGTGAACAGAACACTTGGCTGTGAGCATGCAAATACACCAGCAACGCAAAACCTTGACATATGATGAACTTCT